TTTTTTTTTTTTTTTAAATGCATATTTCTTGTTCATTTTTAATCAGATGAGTTATTAAAAAATTTTGATGTATCTAAATCAAAATTTAAACTAGTAATTTTTGAAACCTTTATGTACTAAGGACAATGAATCCATGAGAATGGTATGAATAATATAGAGAATATGGTGATTTGAAAATGTTTGTATTTAATATAAAGTAAGTCATCCTATAAATAGTTAGTATAAATAAACGCAAGATTTAATATTTGTTACCTCTGCATCTATTTTAAATTTTCTAATACGATATTTTAAACGACATTATTCTTAGTACATACCTACATTTTAATAAACCAGATACCACATATTAAAAATTTKATTTAGGTTCATCGACATTAAAAAAAAACTGTTTAACTGTTTACATTAAAAATGATTGATTCTCGTTCGAAAAAAAATAGTGTGTTGTCACGTAATGCTCTTTAAGTGGTATTAAATACCTAATTAATAAAGTATAAAATAATCCTTAAATGTGCATAAAAAATTAAAGAATCATAATTTAAAAAAAAAATATATCATTTAAGAGAAAAATGAGGGTGATTATGCTTGGTGTGCCAAAAGCATAAAAACATATTTTATATTTATACAATTTATGGATATGACATAAGATTTTTATTATGATATCATGTTGATGTYGCATCTAATCTTATTTATTATATATTATTGTTGATGAGTTTTTTATTTTCTACAGCCAATATTACGGTCTGAACGAAATTCCGGTAAAATTAAATTTGTTTTATGTCAATTATTCACAAAAATTTGAAAATTGGATAAGTGCCCAAAAATAAATATTTTGGTTTTTTATGGATAAAATAGTTGCATCAGTAGTAGTGTATTTAATTTGCGTATAAATCTAACGTCATAACGAATAACATATATATGTATACAGTTAAATAATAATTTCATGGAAAGTATATAGGAATACTGCGTTCGTAGGTTCGTAAATTTTTTTTATATTGTTTATTCTAATAATAAATTATAATTATTGTTCAACTGAATTTCCATAACAATATAATATCCATTGACTATTATATAAGATCGTATATTATGCGTTGTTAAAATGTTAAGAATACATATATAATTTATACATTAAAAACACGTTAACAATAATAATAATAATAATAATAATAAAAAAAAAAATGCTAATACATATGGCAAATGTTACCATAACATTTTGATATGCAAACAAATGAATTATAATTACGGTATAATCCTTCTATATACGCACCTAAATACTTTACTTTCTCTTTGGTTAATAATGTGGGGCACAATATTATTGTTAATACTACGCATTATTGAAATATTAAACACGACAGTATTTAAAACCATATTATTATGTGGTAATAAATCATTATTTTAATATAATACTGTCGATTATCTACCTATAAATTGTCAAGTCGTGGCCCGTCAAAAGATGCRGCAAGGCCACCGAAGYGGTAAATATTTATAGTGGCCATCCCCGCGACGATCGAATATTTYCAGAGACGTTATTGTCATATTTTAAATTCCTCAATGGAATATACTTATGCGAAACACGAAAATGATATTACCACTGGATATGAATGTTACGGTAAATTTATGAGCGAGCTAATTACAAAATATATTGCACGATAACATTATAATATTATGTATAGGCGACTATATACGCGATAACAATTATATTCTATTATTATGTATTCGTATCAACATACTAATTATTACAGTAGATTTATATTTACTACAACACGGGCTGATGGTTGCTGTAAGCCTCAAGATTTAGTTTTTTTTTTTTTTTTAATTATTAGATATATTAATGTTGTGTGTCGTAGATACGTGTATTATATTACGATCGTAATTTGTTGCATTATTATTTTTCGGTTCAAATATATTA